GCATCTATACAAAGCACGAATCCTGAATCCCTTCCGAATCTGAACATGGGCCAATAAGGCCAACCATAGCACACCTTTAACAATTCCTTTGCTCAAATTACCACTTATGTTCTTTTCCCGTAGCTGGAGTAACCCATCAATATGGTAATAACCAGAAACCTCGCAAGTAGTTAACCATGCAACCCAATCATAGGCGGTTGGACTCTCCCACTTAGCTTGAAGCCATTATTACACAACTCTGGCATTCACCAGGACTCTTTATCTCTTATTGACGTAACCTTGCGCAATCAACCGCCAAAATTCTCGGAATCTTACTGTAAAACCCCCTTTTTATACTCTGAATCATCAACCACATTTGCACGACCGACATCTTCGCTATATAACCACTAGAATTCTTCGCAGAAGCCTCGCCAACCACGCGGCCGCTAACCTACTCACAGGAATAACCCACCTGTAGAAATCACTCCCCGACATCTTCCAACGCTGCTGTACGGGGTACAATCACTACGACATCAATAACCCATCCTGAGTCCGAGCTCACTCTCCAGCTGCACAAGTCCATTCACCCCTCGTGGACATCAATTAAACGTGCGGCAACATTCTTCCAGTTCAAAGCTATGTTGTATCCTTCTTCTTTTCCAGCAGCTCCTTCCTGTTTTATCAAATCTCCTGCCGCATAATAGCCCATGCTCAAAATTAAATCTGTAGACCTCAATCACCAAATCACTAAATTCCCAAGTCATCCCCGACTCTCCTTAAGGCACATAGTCGTCCTACCCTAATGTCCATATGCAACTCCGCCACTCTCCCACTTTGGCGGAACTCATCCCTTTAATCAACTACTAGACCCTTGGCCTCTTATACTCGGCCTTCTAGAAATTTTAGCCACCGCCTGACAGTTCCCATATGCCTTTCCTCATCCTTTACTGCTCAGATGCTGCCTTAAATAAAATCTATCTTCGTGGCACTTGAACCCACAATTGCTGTTAACTTTAGACCATTCTGAAGGTCATCTTTCTTGAACCGTCAACATTAGAAATACTGATTCAATCCTAAACCACCGTACCCTGCGATAATCTGACAGCTGTATCTCCAATACTGTTTCACAATATCTTGCCCTGAAAGGCAAATTGTGGAAGATCATAACACCGACAAACTTAGTACGTTCAATTAGGACAACGACACCCCATCATAGAAGAAAGCTCCACCACGCTTGCAAATACCAAGTCTCATTACTCCACCAGCCCACATCTGACCATTCTTAGTCAGATTGCCTTTCCCCTACCGGGAATAAAATACTGAATCTCTTGATTATGCACTAAGTAAACCTCCCTTCAAGTCATTCACTGCATCGACACGTAGGCATACGTCCTACCATCATATCAATGCTGCGGAACATCGTTCGTAAGCATCATGGCAACTTGTGCCTAGCCTCAGAGCCCTCAGAAGTACCGCTACTGGGCTGAAACAATAAAATATCCTTCTACAAAGCGACGATAATAATCCGATCAGCTATACCGGGAGAAACATCCCGTATCAATTCTGTAGTACCATTACGGTTCTTCAATTCTCGATTTATAACAAGCGGTTCGCGTCGCGTAAGATTGAGTAGGAATGAATTAAAGGCATACGCTTCCAAGGATCAAATCGCACGATAAGGAATCAAGAAGGAAATAATCCTAACGGTCCTACAGCCTCCCGAGGATAAGTACAGACGTCTTCGTACCGATCCGCGAGACTCTACTAGACTTGCTCATGACTCGTGAGACCCTAGGAACCTAGTGCTCTGATACCATGTTGTCACGACCCAAAATCCACTAAGGGTCGTGATGGTGCCGGACACTGCTATCAGGCAAGCCAACTAAAATACTTAATTAGATTCCAATTTAGACAATTTTGAAAACCCAAATTTTCCTTCTAATTTCATAAGTAAAGAGACAACTGCTTCAATTCAAATTAAATAATAGGAAATTAATACAAAATATTTCAAAGCCATCCCAGAACCTGGTGTCACAAGTGCATGAGAAATTTCTAAGAAATAATATAATACAACATCCGTTCGGAATACAGTGGACAGAAAATAAATACAATATACTGGAAGGGACTATACTGGCTGCGGGCCGCCTCGAGTAATGCAACTCACCTAGTCCCCAAATCATCCGTGCTGCTACGCCCAGTAGGCCACTAGAGTTACATATACCTGTGCAACAAAAATGCACAGAAGTGTAGTATGAGTACGAAAACAACGTGTACTCAATGAGTATCCCATCTAATCTCGAAGAAGTAGAGACGAGATGGTCGACTTCGACACTTACTAGTGGTCCAATAATGATGTTAATAATTCATTAAATCGTGGACTCTTATAAACAAGATTTTTAATCCAATAGGAGGAAACAAGTAAACAATTATTTCTTTTATAGGAAGTTTCCCAGAATTTCCTTTTCATTATCTATCCAAATATTCTCAAGCCATGAAGAGGCAATAACAACTTCAATAAGTTCAAGGAAGCTATACAAGCATGCGCAAATCATGCTGAGGCGTACGGCTCGCTCCAACTGAAAATAAACTGTGCACTGCCGAGAGTCGAACGGCGCGAACCATAGATGCATTTATTACCCCGCTCGCGAACTATCCATGCGACGCGGTCAACATGAAATAAACAATCCCCCTGCTCGCGAATCATACATGCGACGCAGGTGCACATAGAAATACATACTCAGATAGCCAATTAAGAATTTATCGGGGAATATTTATTCAAATAAAAGCCACTTTCCCTTTTAACAATGTAAGAAAAGAAGTTTAATCCTTTTTGAAATTATTTATTAATTCGATGTGGTTTAAGCAATTCGAGCTGTCAATATGTTTACAATTCATCCAAGTATAGCATGCTTTTGGGTCCTAGACTACCCGGACAATAGCATAATAGTAGCTACGCACGGACTCTCATCACCTCATGCGTACGTAGCCCCCACAAATAGGAGCACATAACCAATTAATTCACCTATGAGGACAATTCCCTCTTACAAGGTTAGAAAGGAGACTCACCTCGTTCCGAAGATCCATAACCGGCATTCCACGCCCTTCCGAAGACTCAAATTGAAGCACAACGCTCCAAAACTAGCCAATAATTATGTAAACCCATTAATATATGCTAAGATACTCATTATAATCCAATTAATAACAATTCCTAACCCCGATCGAAAAGTTTACAAAAATGCCCTCGGGCCCACGTGCCCGGAATCTGAAATTTTTCGAAGATAAAGTTTACCCATAGCCTCACGAACTCAAATATATAATTTTCTCTAAATTCCATACCCAAAATCGTGGTCAAAATCCAAGAATACTAGTTTTCTAGGTTTTCCCTCAAACCCCAAGTTTTCTACAAATTTCAATGTCCATATATAAACCTTGTATATACTCAAAACTAGTAGAGATCACTTACCTCATGCTTGGTGATGAAAACGGCACTCCAAAGTTGCTCCAAAATCGGCTCCCATGGAAGAAATGAAGTGAAAATGAGCAAAACTTCAATTTTTAAAAGAACCCCAGTGCCTCCAGCAGTTTCCGCATCTGCGGAAAAATGACCGCATCTGCGGTTATGACAGCAACCAGCACTTTTTCCCGACACGGAAATGAGCATATCCCTCATACGATGTCCAAATTCGACGATTATTTTTGCTATGGCTCCATAATTACGATACGGATCTAATGGTTTAATAAAAACTTAATTTGGAGCTCATTTGCTTAATATTTTACCCCTTTATGTCCAAAGAAACGACGTTGAAACATCAAATAGGAGCGCGATACAACCCGAAACACACCCGAGGCCCGCGGGACCCGATCCAATCACACCAACCCACTCCATAATATAACACGGACCTGCTCGAGGCCTCAAATCATACCAAACAACGCTAAAATCATGAATCAACCTCCAATTCAAGCTTTATGAACTTTAGAACTTCAAACTTCTACTTTCGATGCCGAAACCTATGAAATCACGTCTGATTGACTTCAAATTTTGTACACAAGTCATATTTGACATTACCGACCTACTCCAACTTCCAGAATCGGAATCCGACCCCGATATCGAAAAGTCCACTTCCGGTCAAACTTCTCCAAAACCCTTCAAATTTCTATCTTTAGCCAAATAGCTCCAAAATGACCTACGGACCTACGAATTCACTTCCAATCGCGCTCCCAACTCCAGAATCACCATACAGAGCTACTCCCAGACTAAAAATCCTAAACGGACATCGATAACACTAAAATGCACTTCAAGCCAAACTTACGAAATTTCTTCCAATATGCTAACTTCCACAATGGGCGCCAAAACGCTCCCGGGTCATCCACAACCCGATCCGGACATACGCCCAAGTCCGAAATCATCATACGAACCTGCTGGAGCCTTTAGATCCCGATTCCGAGGTTGTTTACTCAAAAATTCAATCTTAGTTAATTCTTTCAACTTTAAGCTTCCGAAATGAGAATTCTCTCTCCAAATCAACTCTGAACTTCCCGCAATTCAATTCCGACCACGCGTACAAGTAATAATACCTGAAATGAACCTGCTCATGGCCTCAGACTGCTGAACGCCGCGCTAGAGCTCAAAACGACCGGTCAGGTCGTTACAAGAATTATTGAATTCAAAGAAGAGATGAGCACCTTGGGAGAAGAAGAGTAGAGAATGAAATTTTCTTCTTCGATATGTCTGAGTTACAATGTACAGTACTATTTAACTACCTTCTACAGTGACCAACTAACTAGTGCCAACTCATATACAGCTGTACAATTATCAGACTAATGAACCAACTATAATTATAATGACCTAACTATGGTTAAGTTAAGAACACATGTGAACTAAGGCACTGCTTGCGTGGATATTTCCTTTACACCCCCCCCCCCAAGCTAAGACTACTGAAGAAGTTCTTCAGTCCTAGCTTGGACACCAAATAGTCATGTTGAGATAGCCCAAGGCGCTTGGTTAGCAAGTCAGCTTCTTGTTATGCTGTAGGAACATAGACAGTACTGATCAGCCCTTGTTGAACCTTTTCTCTAATGAAATGGCAGTCAATATCAATCTGTTTCGTGCATTCATGAAAAACAGGATTCGTAGCAATTTGAATAGCGGATTTACTATCACAATAGATAGGAACAAAAGAGGAATGAGGAATACCCAACTCCTTGAACATACCAAGAATCCAAATCACCTCAGCTACAGTAGAAGCTAAACTCCTATACTCAGCCTCTGCTGAGCTGCGAGAGATGGTAGATTGCTTCTTGGACTTCCAAGAGATCAAAGAGCTACCAAACTTGACAAAATAGCCTGTGACTGACTTGCATGTCTTGGGGCAAGCAGCCCAGTCTGCATCACAAAAGGCTGAAAGCGAATCTGAGCAGGTAGCACTTAATAACACACCCATACCAGGACAAGACTTGACATATGTCACGACCCTCATAGCAGCCTCCATTTGGGAAGACTTGGGTTTATGCATGAATTGACTCAATTACTGCACAACAAATGAAATTTCAGGACGAGTGATAGTTAAGTAGAGTAATTTCCCCAGCAATCGTTGATACGGCCCAGGATCAGGAAGAATAGAATCACCAGCAGAATATGTATAAGCATCAAACTCAGTGGTAGTCAATCTGAGGTTAAGCTCCATAGGAGAGTAGACAGGCTTTGACCCTGCTAATCCCAAACAGAGATCAACTCCAAGGCATACTTGCGATGCATCAAGATTCCCTGGTCACTCCTAGCAAACTCAATGCCCAAGAAAAATTTGAGCTCACCAAGGTCTTTAATCTTAAAACTGGACTGTAAATCATCCTTAGTATGTTGTATAAGCAATTTATCATCATCTGTGATTTTATTAACAAGTCATCAACATAGACTAGAACCATCACCAACTTTTCTCCCACTCGCTTGATGAACAAGGAATAATCTAGGTGGCTCTGTGTGAAACTAGAATTCTGCAATGCTGTTGTTAATTTGATATTCCACTGTCTGGAAGCCTGCTTAAGTCCATAGAGGGACTTGAGCAGTTTACACACTGAGGACTTATCAGTGGAGTCACTGAACCCTAGTGGAACAGTCATATACACTTCTTCAAAGAGATCACCTTGCAATAATGCATTGTACACATCCATTTGATGGATGGTCCAATGCCTTGAAGCTGCTATAGAAAGCACACTCCTAATAGACAGGTGAAAATGTCTCTTGGTAGTCTAAGCCTTCTTTCTGGTTGTATCCTTTTGTCACAAGTCTAGCTTTGAATCTCTCAACTTCCCCAGTAGCCTTGTATTTAATCTTATATACCTATTTACATCCAATAGCCTTCTTACCCTTAGGTAATGGGACAAGAGCCCATGTGTGATTGTATTCTAAAGCCTTGATTTCAGACTTCATGGCTTCTACCCGTCTTTTATCTTTAACTCCTTCTTGGTAGGTCACTGGTTCTACTTCAACAGAGAACTGGGACAAATAATATTTAGGTGCAAGATGATCATAGGTGAGCACCTCAGAAAGTGGATATTTGAAGCAGCTTGGAGACTTTCCTTTGGTAGGCTAAACATAATCCTGCAGCCAGATGGGAGGTTTAGGCACTCTCCCTGATCTTCTAATATCCTGCCCAAGTGTGGGTGGATTACAATTGGGCACTGGAACATCAATAGTGGAATCAGCAATTGTAGAAGCACCATCAGGAACTGAGGAAGGTGCAATATCTGTGGAGCAGGAAATCTCAGGTAAAGTTGGAGAACATGAAGCTGAATGTGTGCAAGGTTCCTTGTGTGGCATCTGAACATCCATAGGAGCTGAATCTCTAACAACATCCTGTCTAGGAACAGGAGTAGAATCAAGAAAGAGATCTGCTGAAGCAATGTCCAATGATTGGAATGGAAACACATCTTCATAAAAGACTACATCCCTGCTAATGAAGAAGACTATGTATTTCAAGTCCAATAGCCTGTATCCCTTCTGATGTGCTGCATATCCCAACAGAACAGATCTCACAGCCCTTGGCTCAAACTTGTCATGCCTGATCAAGTTTGTTGCAAAGCACAGGCATCCTAGCATTCTCAAATGGGAAATAGAAGGTTGTTTCCCATGTAGCATTTCATAAGGGGATTTACCTACAATAATTGAGGAGGGTATCCTGTTGATAATATGGACTGCTGTGTCAATGCAATGGCCCCAGTATCGAACAGGCAAATGTCCCTAAAATCTAATAGCTCTGGCTGTCTCAAGTATGTGCCTATGTCTTCGTTCAACTACCCCATTTTGCTGAGGAGTGTATGGGCAAGAACTCTGGTGTACAATGCCATGCAATTGAAATAAGTCCTTGCAGGAATGATTAAAAAACTCTCCTCCATTATCCGACCTAAACACCTTAATAGTCTTACCATACTGTGTCTTGACAAAAGCAATAAAGTTGTTGAGTAAAAACATTACATCAGATTTTAGTCGCATAAGAAACACCCAAGTCCATCTAGTGTAATCATCCACCAAAGTAAGGAAAAATCGCATGCCATTGTGAGTAGGAACTTTATAAGGACCCCAAACATCCATGTGTATCAAGTCAAAACTAGATAAGCTTCTACTCTTACTAAGTGGAAATGGTACTCTAGTCTGTCTTGCTAGTGGACATATCTCACACTAATTCAATTGATTGTTATAAGAGAAATTGGTATTATTCAGTAGGCTAGGAATTTTTCTAAGAACTTGCATTGGAACATGTCTTGTTCGCTTATGCCATAAGTCTGCACTTGCTCCACTAGTTGCTGCAAAGGCTCAATTCACTTTTCCTCCAACTGATATAGACAAAACATATAGTCCTTCCTCCTCCTTACCAATCCCCTTCACCTTCCCAGACAAGACGTCCTGAAATACAAAACATTGTGGAAAGAACGTGACACAGCATTTCAAGGCCTTTGTCATCTTAGATATTGACAAAAGATTGAACTTGAAAGTTGGAACACAATGAACATCCTTAAGAGTATCACCTCCTGTGAGTTGGCATTCTCCCATGTGTGAAATTGTGGCTGAATCTCCAGTAGGCAATTGAACTTATCCTGTGCTTCCTACTGATTGTTTATTATGTAGTAAGTCTTTAGAACCAGTTATATGATTCGTAGCACCAGTATCCACAATCCATTTGCAAAGTACCATATTTTCACATAATTCTACATTGCCACAAAAGCATTTACCTGCCATGTGAGCACTGGCATCTCCAACAGAATTCTTGTTCAATAGTTGTAATAGTTGATTGTACTGGTCTTGTGTGAAGAACTGAGCTGGAACTACTGCATTGCTTATCTGTTGATTAGGCATTTGTGTGGTCTGAGGCTGGTCACTTAAAAAGGCAGCATTTGCTTTTCCCTTTGACTTGAAATCTGGAGGATGAACCACGATCTTGTAGCATTTTATCCTTCAAATGTCCTGTTTTATTACAAAAATCACATTTCATTAGTTTATATCAATCTTTTCGAGTATGTCCTTTTAGGTGACAAAAGTCACATTCCAAACTATACTTTCTTCTTTGTTTGTTTCCTGATTGTGCAGTAAACAGAGCAGTAGGCTCAATGTTCCCTGCATTTTCATAATTGGTACCAGTGATCATCCGCCTGCTTTCATCTTGAACTACCATGGCATATGCTTTATTGATAGACGACAAGGTAGGCATTAAGAGGATTTGACTTCTAGCTTGTTCAAAGCTATCACTTAATCCCATGAGAAATTGTAATAGACGTTGATATTCTAACTGCTCAACATACTCTGCTGCTGGAGGTGGTGGTAAAATAGAATCGTACTCTGCCCACAGATCTCTGAGCTTTGTAAAATAGGTAGAAACAGAACTAATTCCCTGAGTCATAGTGAAGATTTCCTTGTGTAGATAGTATAATCTTGATCCATTTACTTTATCAAAACGTTCCTTAAACGCAGCCCACACTGTACGAGCATTAGATGAAAAAAGTACTCCAGTTATCAAATCCTTACTAACATTGCTCATTAACCACAAGGTCACTATCGTGTTGCATCGATCCCACTGGTGTGCTAGATCAGATCCAAAATCCTCTTTTGAAGTCAATCCATCAACTAGACACAGTTTATTTTTTCCTAACAAGGCGACCTTCATGGCCCGACTCCAGAGAGTATAATTCTCCATTCCAGTTAGTATAAGCCCTACCGACATGGATCCAGGTCCATCGGAAGGATGTAGATATAGCGGGTGATTATGATCGAGAATCGTGGATCCTCCGGCTGTATTGGCTCTGTCATTCACAGTGCTGCTTGATCCTTCAGAGATCGCCATGAATTAGGTCAAATCAAAGTGCCAAAAAAAACTGCAATTGCACAAAATTAGGGTTCTGAAGAGAACAGAAATGAGCGAATTCCTTCGAATTTTCCTTAATTGCTCGAAAATTCCTTAGAATCACTCAATTAACTGCTCTGATACCATGTTAATTTCTTATGATTGAGCTGAAAGAATGATTGAATTCAGAGAAGAGAAGAGCACCTTGAGTGAAGAAGAGCAAAGAATGAAATTTTCTTCTTCGATATGTCTGAGTTACAATGTACAGTACTATTTAACTACCTTCTACAGTGACCAACTAACTAGTGTCAACTCATATACAGTTGTACATGTATTAGACTAATGAACTAACTACAATTATAATGACCTAACTATGGTTAAGTTAAGAATACATGTGAACTAAGGCACTGCTTGCGTGCATATTTCCTTTACAACCATTATGTGTTTACGAACCAATGTTATTTTGTTTTAACTCTTTCTTTTCTTTTTTAGTTTTTCCAAAATTTGCTACTCATTCTTGATCTTTTAATTTCTTTCTTTCGTTTTCCCCCCTTTCCCCAGAAGATCTTCTTTTTTCTGTCTTTTCTTTTTGTTATTTTCCAAGTTAGCTATGTTATTCCCTCCTGTTTCTTTATTTTCTGTTTTTCTTTTCTTCGAAATTTGCTATTCCCTTTTACTGAAGATTTAGATTATATATGTTCTAGCAAATTAAGTGTAAAGAAATTTTATCCATTGTAATATATGTCTTTAGAAGTTGTAAATCTTGTTATGTTACATATAATTACAGGTAATTGACTTCTAGATAGAGAAAAAATATTTTCATATTTGTTGTATAGTTAATCATTAAACTCATAAAAAATCATTATCCTCCAATATCTCTTGTCTAACACCCTATCTCATCATGTACGACTCTCAAACCTTAGCTTAGCAATTGTGGATTACATATTCAACATCTAGCATCCATGAGTTGTCTCAAGCTCGTCGTTATGGTGCACCCATCTTCTTGAAATCCTAGATCCGCTTCTACAGTAGTACAGGCTAAACAACTAAACAATTATCACAAATAATACTACAACTCCTGAAAATTTCAAGAAGATTTCAACCAGCTGCGAACCGCGTCAGAATGTGATCCTTCTACCGATACAAAACCACTAGTA